AAAAATTTGAAAAACTTACAGGCCGTGGTTCACCAGAAAACCTTCTATTGTAATCATGTATTTCATTTAAAATATTTGTTTGTTCTTGAGATGCAGACTGTGTTTCTGATTCCGTGAAACAGATTAGAATAAGAGTAACCTAGAAAATAAAAAGAATCAAATAACTTTGTGGTAGTTGGGGGGTGGGGGGCAGTTTCTTTCTAGAATCTATATATAAAATTCTGTGACTACTCTTAAGTTTGTCAGTCACACCCTCTCAAATAACCATACATTGACTGATCAAAACCAAATTTTTGGGAGAAGTACAAACAGGTAAGTGGGTACAAAGTACAGTTGGTTTTACTTGGGTGCATAGGTTAGTACAATAAATTTTCATTCATTTTTTGGAGAAATTAAGTTTTATTATTTAACATACAAAATACTTCCACTAGTTTAAAAACAATTTAATCATTAAAATAACAAATACTTCTTTGATAAAAATGCAATATTGTTTTTTGTATGTTGTTTCTTTAAGTTTTATAGACACAAGAATCCAGTTTCCAATTCACCTTGCGTTTGTGATAACTATAAATAAATCATCTGACCAAACACTTCAAAAAAATTGGGATTTGGCTCCAGTAAGAAATATTTATGCATGGCCAGTTGTATGTTTCATGCTCAAAAGTAAGAAATCCTAAGAATTTTGCTGCTAAAAATGAAAAAGGAGAAAAAGTCCTATAAGAGTAAATTAAAAGAAATTAAACTGCAAAGGAGGGTTTTTGTGAAAGTATTTTTTATGAAAAAAAAAAGTGTTAAGATATTTGCAAAAAGATTTATGCACTACTAATATTCACTGACCAAAAGAAGTTTGAATATCTTTGAAGGTGGAGGTGAAAGAATGGGATTGAAATAAGACACCAATAATATTTATTTGTACAAGAAATCTAGAGACCTGTTACAATAGCATGCAGAAAAGGGGCAGAGGGTGTGATGGCATTGGGTATTGAAAGTATGAAATAAAAATTTAGTTTATATTTAATTTGAATAAAGTATTTATCTCATCTTTCATTACACATTTAAAATATCTTCCATTCTCATATTTCTCAGTGTAGGCCTCCACTATTTAAGTTTTAGGGGCACAGAATGAAGGAGTTGGCCCCAGGCATCACCAAACATCTGTCTGTTAGAGGTCATGAGAGAACGTTACTATGGGAAAAACGTTACTATTCAGTTTACAGATTATGTTAAGTAAACAAAGCATTTTTGTTATGTAAACAATATATATTTTATTATATATATATATATATATATATATATATATATATATATATATATATATATATATAGTAGCATCCAAAACTAAGGGACAAAATTTTAAAACCTAATATTTGTTAGAAATAACAACTGTGAAAAGCTGAAATTTTGACAGCTGGTAGTCGTTATCATCCATAATAACATACTAAAATTTGAATCATTTGCAAAGGATAGAAAAACAATTATTTATTTATTTTCAAATTTGGAACGTCTAAAAGTAAGGGACAAAATTGAGAAAAACAATGTAAACGGCAAAAAAACAATAAAAATACATGTACAATCAATATTTAGTAAATGAGCCCTTGCTCTCAATGACAGCTGCACATCTTCGACTACAAGAACGAATCAGTTCTTGACAATCCTCGATACTAATTTTAGACCATTCTTCTTGAAGTTTCACCCACAAATCCTCCGTGTTAGTGGGATTTCTTTCCATAACTTTCACTCCTAAGGTCTTCCAAAGATTTTCTATTGGATTTAAGTCAGGACTTTGTGGTGGCCAATCCATAATTTCCAAATCTTGCTCGCTAAGGTAACTCATTACCACCTTTGCCTTGTGACATGGGGCATTATCATGCATAAAGGTAGCACTATCGAAACCTGAATTCTGTATGATTGGCACAACATGATCTTTAACAATTTTTTTATAGATCTGCGCGTTTACACGAGTTTGTAACCGGACAAGAGGCGTTGTACCTTGGCTAGAAAACATTCCAAATACCATGACGCTTCCCCCCCAAACTTGACAGTTTTCTTAGTACACTTTGCACTTAATCTTTCACCAATATCGTCTCTTTACATTGTTTTTTTCCATCATTTCCAAATAAATTAAAGTTGCTTTCATCACTGAAAATACTTTTGCCCAATTTTCATATGTCCAAATTACATACCTGTTTGCAAACTCTAATCTCTTCTTCTTGAATTAACAAGTGGTTTCTTCCTGGGGTTCGATTAAACAGCCCTATTTCTTGCAGTCGTCTACAAACAGTCTGTCTTGACACATTAACACATGAGGTACTATTCATAACCCTTTTAATTTCTGTGCAAGACTTAAAACGGTCCTTTAATGACATATGCTGCATTATTCGATCTTTTCTTGTCAAGTTTTATGGGTCTGCGGTTTTAAAAGCACTAACTATTTTGCCAGTATCATTGTAGGATTTAACAACCCTGCCTACAACACTCTTGGAACGTTTCACTTTCTCTGAAATCTCTCTAATGGTGTGCTTTTCCTTGTGTAGCTTCACAATAGCTTGTCTCACAGAGTAATCAAGTTTTTGGCATTTCGCCATGGTGCCGGCTGATGCAACGTTTACAAATGACTAAGTAAGACTTATTCTTTAGAGGAAATCAAAAAATTTGAATATAGCATACTGTTTACATTGTTTTTCTCAATTTTGTCCCTTACTTTTGGACGATCCTATTTTGAAAATAAATAAATAATTGTTATAATTCTTTTTCTATCCTTTGCAAATGATTCAAATTTTAGTATGTTATTATGGATGATAACGACTACCAGGTGTCAAAATTTCAGCTTTTCACAGTTGTTATTTCTAACAAATATTAGGTTTTAAAATTTTGTCCCTTAGTTTTGGACGCTACTGTATATATATATATATATATATATGTGAATGAAAGATCAAATGCAGATCAAATATGGATCAGAATCCAACAGGATGATAAAATAAAAGAACAAATTGAAAATTTATCTCAATTTAAAATTGTTTCACTTTTATTAATGCTTCATCAGAGATTGAGAGAAAGCAGACAAAAAGATTGAAACACTGGTATTTTCAATTATGTTTGGGTCAATTCTTATTGATCAGACACATATGTGTATTAAAACTGTGGATAATTTTGTGTCTGTATGTATATGAAGATTCTTGTATGTTTAAGTGAGCATCAAATGGTAATGTGTATTTGTAATTATGTGTGTCTATTGGGAGTTCTATCTTCCCCTTTGTGCAGTCAACCCATGCAGCAGAGAGTCACAAGGTTCTAATTTATGCCTAAAAGAGGTCAGCAATAAATGTATTTTTTGTATGAGATAGATATAAGTTAGAATATTCTTTAAGGATGGATTCAAAGAAAGAAGGCAATGTAATGCAATGTTTTAGATGTGTGTGTATAGTTGGTAATAATGTTATTAAGTTTTCAATGTATTTTCTCCTTAAAGAATTATGTTATTTTTTTAATTAGGGTAGCACACACATATATAATTATTATTTATAAAAAATATTATAACATAAATATCTTATAAAATCACTACAAAAATAGCCATTTTGTTTCAACACCCTCGGTGTCTTATCAAGTGATGAGGTTGAAGATAAAATAATGTTTTTTTTTGTAGTGATTTTATAACATATTTGTTATAATTTTTTTATAAATAATAATTATATCTGCTCTACTTTGTATTGAGCACTCTTTTAAGAATAGTAATTGTTAGTTATTAATTATTCCATATATTCATTGTGTGTGTATATATATATATATATATATATATATATATATATATATATATATATATATATATATATATATATATATATACACACACACTTTTATGCAAACAATACATAGTCCCATATATTTAAAATTAAATACTTATCCCCCACCTTTACTAGCTCCATTCAATTGCAAATTACCTGAACATTTTGATTGATTGATTCTGTTTAGTAGATGTATGGGTTATTTAATGCCAAAATCTAAATATTTTGTACACAAATTTATTTATTTTCTTTTTGAGATAATGATTTCAGTGATACAAGTCTTACTAATTAACATAAGGCTGGGGAGAGAAGAGCTGGATTCATACCTTTCAAGTGTATTTGTGCATAAGTGGATATAATAAACCCAACTGGAATTGCAACTTGGCTCTCTGATTAACAATTCAGAGTCATTATCCATTACACCATCCACACATCCAAGCTTACAGTACCTGGTATTCCCAAGCAGTTACCCATCTAAGTACTGACCAGGCTCGACATTGCTTAACTTTGGTGATTGTACGGGAAGTGGTGTTTCAATGCGGCCATAAGCCCACCTGGACCTTTTGGGATTCTGGCAAATTTCAATACCTCTGGCTAGAATAGATGGTTTCAACAATTAGGCTGCATCTTCTGTGTCCTGCCTCTTCAGGATGTAGGTGATCATGGTTCTCCACAACATCTTATCCTTTGTAGCTTTTAGTAATGTCTGTCTTTTACAATGCCTCCCAATTCATTCACACAAGCTTGTCAGTTAAGTTGCCCACTGCCCCCTCCCAATCTATTTTGCCTTTAATATATCCCATTAGTGTTGAATTCTTTATGCCCTTATCCTCATTATAAAATTTTAGATTTCTCTCTTTCTGATTCTGAATATTTTTTTTTATTCTGAATATCTTTTTTTTTTTTTTTTTTTATTTCATTTTCCTTAAAACTTCGTCATTGATCACATACACCATCCATGGTATTTTCAGTATTCGCCTGTCAAATCACATCCGTAGCTTTCACTCTTCTTGTCATTATCCAGATTCACTGCCATATAGGTGAATTGATATTATTTAGTTCAGCATTCATCTCCTTGTTTTTATATATACAAGAAAAAAAAAGGGGGGGAACGTTTTTTTTTTTTTTATGCAAACCTGAACTACAACAGCTATGTGTTGCCACCAAGATGAGCCACCTAGTTGAGAGGACATCAGCTGTGATCTAACCTGGAGAATGCCCAAGACACACCACGTGATATGCGCACCAAGAAACAATTTGTAGAAACCCAGACTCTGGTACACGACTGTGACAGATGGAGGAGAATGGTGGACAGCTCAGCACCTCAATGATTCCTTCTATAGTTAAGAGTGAAAGGAAACCTGGTATAGTACCATATAATTAACATTCAATACTTATCCCCCATTTACCCCCACCATTTAGTGCAACTGTACACCCCACAATTATTCAGTTGCAACTCACCTAGAACATTTTATATTCTAGTAAATTTCATGGACACCTACATCCAATACTTCTGGCTACAATACACCATTTCAACAATTAAGCTACATCTTCTGCGTGTCCTGTCAGGATGTGCACGATTATGGTTCACAACTTTCTATCCTTTATAGCTTTTATTAACATTTGCCTTTTTGCAATCCCTCCTAATCCCTGTTCTGCCATTCATTCACACAAGATCATTAGATAAGTGACCTGATATCTCTCCCTGTTGCTTTTGAATTTGATATGTTCTGTGAGTGTCTAATTCACCAAGCCCTCCTTCCTCATTATGAAATTTCAGCTGTCTCTTTCTGATTGTCTTTTTTCTTTCCATTTTCCTTAAGACTTTCTCAATATTCACATGCTTCGTCAATGGTATTCTCAGGATCCTTCTGAAGGGTCACATCTGTTGTCTTCAGTCAGGCTTTGGGGCTGATTTGATTTGTCAGAGATTTTGAAAAGGTTTGGCTGTTTGTCTTTATTAGTTACAAAAGCCTATTTGGCTAACTGGTGTTTAGTTTTCAAACATTTCATCACACTTAAAAGTGGAAATGTTTAGTCAAAGAGGAAAAGAAAAATTTGCACACACATTTATTTAGTTTTAAAAAGTTACTTTAATCAGTTTTAAAAGTCGATAAAAGAATTTCATAATTTGTATGTTGTGGAGTCGGTGGTGATGAGTTGACCTGCACCCTTCAATCTATAGTCTTCAGGTTCCTGTTATAGGTTTGTTGAACTATGTAGATCAGAGATTCTCAACATGGGTGGTAATGCTGCCCTGGGTATAATGGAAACCCATGAAGGCAGTAAGTGTTCATGGACATTGTTTTTTTTTTTTTTTTTGGATGGGGATAGTATAATTTTAACAGATCAGTAAGATGATCTCACCTTTTGAAGCTTTACTAGGACAAGTCAGAATGGTTATATTGTGCAACAAACTCCCAAGAGGATTTTTCTTGGATCACTCCAATCTTAATCTCTTCAAGTCTTGAATCAACTGTTATCTATCCAATAACATCCATAATATAAAACCTCTTCCCTTTATGTCCTTACACTTTCCTTATTCAGTAAGCTTTTACCTTAAGCAGGCCTTATAGTAGATAAACAATAGTACAGTAGTTCATTGCTATTATGCGAACCAGTTTACTGCGGTACCCAGTGTACTGCAAGTCAGTGGTAGACCCAAAGATATTGCTCTCGTACCCTCAATACTGCTCACTTTTTTTAGAAATTCCACCATATTTTAAGTTCTGGGACATCTTCACGATAGACAGAACAGTGATCATCATATGGGTCCTAACTTTTTTTTAATAATTAGGCCACTTTTTCACATGTTTTACCTTGATTTTGATGATCAAACAGCCCAAATTTTGTGAAATTTTAACACTTCGGCCGTTTCACACCTAATCCAATTGCATTGGTAATAATTACCCATGATTACTTTATATTTCTATTTTGCACATGATCAAAGAGTTCCTATAATATTGGACTAATTAACAAGAATTTAATCATTGCAATAAGATACCACAGATGGGGTATAAATAGAAGTACTTTTCTCTGGTTGATCATGTTCAAATTAACTGTCCAACAGTAGACATCAAGAATCTCTCATAAACAAATATAAATAGCACATAGTAATTAGGGGTCGCAATTGGGAATTCCTGACAATTCTTAGGAAATTGCATCCCCTAGTAGTCTAAACATGAAGTGTACACAGTAAAGGAAAAACTGTATTTGATAGATAGGATAAGGAATGGTGAAATGAAGGCAAAGATCAGCAGGGATACAGGGGTACCTAAATCCACCCCCCTTAGGGGCTAGGTGAAGAAGGAGACCAAGCTGCATGAATTCACAGATACTATCCATGGGTCAGAAGGACTGTATACAAAGAAGGAAGAGGAAGTACATTTGAGGATGGTTAAAATTTATTGTATAAAAAATCTGCTGCAAAACATTGAAATAAGTTGAAATTTCAGGTAATTGGCTTTTTAAGCTCCATGCTAAGTATCTAATAAAAACTTCCCAAATAGTTGTATTTACATGTAAGTTTACATGCTTAATTTGAAAATAACCAAGAAATTTTGATAAAAATCTACCATTTTTGGAGTTATCGACAAAAAAAATTTGGACTCATTCATGTTATGGCAGCCATTACTGGCATTGTTTGCATATATTTGCTGTGGAATTGACATTTACTTGTCTTGATTATTGTGCACGCACTGATACAAACTATCAATAATGGCTGCTGTGCCATAGCCAACAACGACATGAATGAGCCCAAACTTTTATTGTTGATAACCCCAAAATGGTAGATTTTATAAAGATTTATTTGTTATTTTGGAATTAGGCATGTAAATTTAGAATAAAAAAGTAACTGTTCAGAGAATTATTATTATTAGATACTTAGCGCAGACCTTAAAAAGCAAGTTACTTGAAATTTCTTATGGAATCATTGGCATAAATTAGTATAATTTTTTGAGGTTCTTTTTGAGCCATTATCTATGGTGTACATCACAAAATAGGACAAATAGGGCCCAAAAATCAGGTAGATGTTCAACCTCCTCTTATGGCCACCCCACCACCCACTGAGGCTACTGCCATTCACTTGCAGCATGGATCAGCCATTTTGGACCCCACTATATTGGTGGACTACTGTTAAAAAAGGAAAGAAAGAAATCAATCTCTTATGTACATATTTATTTATCTCTTAGTCAATATATTTATTTTTTTAGATGTATTTTAAACATTTTGACAATTGTAATGTATATAGAGAAAAAAAGCTACAAGATAAATTCTGATAACTTGTATGGCGTGCCCCAGTGATTACAGCATTCTGGTTCCTGCTGCAGCTCATTCCCAGTAATTGGTGTTGCAACAAAATGCAAACATGTGACATTAACTCTGCTCCATTTACCAATGCAATTTTAATATAGACATGCCAATCCATGCAAATATCTCTAGGGGTAGTGGAGAAGAAAATACTAAAAAACATTGATAGAGACAAAATGCAATAAGACTTCTTGCCTTTTAAAAAAAAAAAAAAAAAAAAAAAAAAAGGTAAAGGCTGATAATCATGATTGCCAAGTTCTATTGGCATATTGCTACATGTTTATTGAAACTCATCTTTTAGTGCAATGGCACATTACCTCCACCCTTAATACATTTTCAGCTCTTTCCTGGGTTAGTTGCATTAACCTTCATTAATTCATCTTATTTTAAGAAAATGATATCAAAAGAAAAATAAAAGTCCAATGGAGATGCTTACCTTTTGCCTGCAGACAGGACATTTGATACCACCTAACCATGAACCATAATGCCAGTAGGCAATTATACAGCGTGCTGGAAGTAAAAAAAAAAAAAATAAATAAATGAAATAAAAAATAAATGAAATAAACAATAATCTAAAACATTTTTTTCTGTAGTTATTACAAAGAACCTTTTTTTTCAGTCATTTCAACCTAAGCAAAGTGATAAAGCCATTCAGGGGCAAGAGGATACTGTGGATGAAGAAAACCAAGAAAACATTATTAAGGAGAAAGGTTTTTGATTTTTTTTTTTTTTTTGCAGCTTATCAAATTTTTGCAGGTCATTTAAAGCTAAAAAATATTTTTGGATTGTAAGAATTTTTAGGAGATAATAATGATTTAGTGATACATACCCTACTATTTAACTCATAGTTGTGGGGGTGAAGCGTTGGATTCATACCTTTCCCAAGGGTATTTGTGTGTAAGCAAACATACCAAACCCAACCAGAATTGGAACTCTGCTCTCCAATTTCCAATTGCCAGCAGTCATCCATTACACCACCCGCACATCAAAGATTATAGAATCTGGTATTCTCAAGTAGTACTGACCAGGCTTGACATTGCTTGACTATAGTGATCAGATGATAGGAGGTGGGGGAATAAAAAAAAAAAAAAAAACAGTAATTCATAATTGATGTTGCACTTAAATCTCTGAAGATCATAGTTGACAGAAAAAACAAGTTAGAAGAGAGTTCCACAGGCAAAAAAAATGTGAGAGAAGCTATTAGAATAAAACTTATGGTTACAATTAGCAATTTCAAGAGTAAATGGAGATCTAGCCAGTCAAATACTACACTTGATTTTTAGATTTAATTTTCCAATATATTTCACAATTATATTTTGACATATCCTATATGCTGCAAAAACGTGGCACAGAAAACCAATTTCAAAGCCAACTGAAGTCTCAGTTCAAGAACAGAAGAATTAAACTTTCCCTCAATGCCTCACCCTTGTCCAGAACAGGGAAGTAATCTACCTTCCACCAGCCCTATACTAAATCTGTCAAATTGTCAGATTAGTCATTGTAACTTTCTCCTCCTCTCCCATTTGCCCCTGGTCTGTTTAATAATCTGTTCCCAAAAATGTCTTCTCAATGTGAGGAACATTGCTAGCATTCTGCCACTCCAATTGATAGGAAGCATGTTTTCCATGTTCCAACAATTCAGCAAGGGTGTGTTGAGGTTGAGACAAGAAACACCTAACCAATTGCTTTCCCAAGAAGTACAGGGGTAATAGTCAGAGAAAAGAAAAAAACAGGAGATAGCAAAATAACACTGCCTCAGAAAACACAGCACAGAAAACATATGGGTCAATGCAAGCCTTGTAATGACAAGAGAGGTGTTGGTCACATCAAATCAGAACTTGGCAGACAAGATGACCATGTACCACAAAGGCGGCTTGATATGACCAAAAAGGGGACTGAACCTGTGCAGCAGGTGTGTGCTGAATCCCAGATAGATTATGAAAGTACATAGATGAGTCGGCAGTTGGTGAGACTGAATATCTTGTGAAGTTGGCCTTATGGGCATTTTGTTTTTAAAGATGCAGAGCCATGGTTTCTGAGGCAGCATTATTTTGTTACCTCCCGTCTCTTTCCTTCCACAGACTATTACCTTAGAACTTCTTGGGAAAGCAATCTGTCAGCATTTCCCTGAATCTCAACACACCCTTGCTGTATTTTACAACACAACATTAAAAAAAACAAACACCTCTTTCCTTAAATTACTTTTGTTTTTAAAATGCTAACAAAAATTTTTTCATAATTTGCAGATTGTTGAGTCTGTGGGGATGAGTCATTCTGCACCCTTCAATCTATAATCTTCAAGTTCCTGTTATGGATTTGTTCAACCATGTAGATTAGAGATTCTCAATATGGGTGGGAATATTGGAAACTCATGAAATTGGCTGGGGGTGTGGGGGTAGTATAATTTTATCAGTAAGATGATTTAACCCTTTAAACATTTATTGGGAGAAATTGGAACTTATTTTGGAGGACAAACTCCTGAGAGGATGCTTCCCTGATCATTCTAATCTTAACCTCTTCAAGTCTTGAATCAAAGTATCATTTGCATTGGCAAATATATATATATATATATATATATATATATATATATATATATATATATATATATATCCAAGTGTAAGGTAGGTTAGTACCACTGTCCAGACATTATATTTTTTTAAAAAGTGCTCTATACAGAGTAGAGCTTAGTAATAATATTTATTAACAATTATAACAAAAAAAAAAAAAAAAAAAAGTTATAAACCGCTACATAAATGCAATCATGTTTCAACACTATGTGACTCCTCAGGGGGTAGCTATTCTTCAGTTGAGCACCACCGCCTGTCAAACATGAATGCAGTTTTATTCTTTTGTTATAATTGTTAATAATTATATATCACTTTAAATATTATTATTAGAAGATATTCATATTTGAGTAGGCTCTCATTTTATATATTATTAACTATTATCTATCCTATATATGCCCATAATATGCACTTCTTACTTATTTCCTTTATGGATGTTGGATTTAACGGCATGTCAACTCCTATTTGGGTCAATTTATGCGAGCCTTATTAATTTATGAATTTAAGTTGGTTATTTTTGTATAAAAAAGATGAAAGGTTGTTGGGTTTCATAATTTTCTGTATTTTTGGGATTGCTTTTGTGACCGTTTCTGATTGTGTATTTTACTGTTTACATTCATAGATGCATATATATGTCTATAAGCATATATATATATACACTATTTATATTTTATTGAGGATTTTTATTTCCTTGAGAAAACTGTATATTTTTTCTGTGTCTGTATTTTTGAATATTTCTTTTAAATCTTTTCCATTGAGATATTTCTGTCTTATCCTAGTTATGATTTTGCATTCTGATAGAATATGTCTTATTGTGATTAGGCTTCCACATTTACATTTTGGTGGATTTGTCTTTTTAATATGTGAGAATGAGTTAAATATGTGTGTCCTATATGTGTTCTGGTTATGACAACTTGTTTTTAGTATTTCCAAGATCATTTCCCCATTTTCCTACTTTAGGTTTAATTTGAAATAATTTATTTCGGTTTGGTTTTTCCATAGATTTTGCCATTTGTTTCTTATGTATTTATATATTTTAGATTTTAAGTCTGTATATGGAATTTGAAGATTTTCGTCAATTGTCATTTTTAAAGATGATTTAGCAGCATTATCTGCCTTATCTCCTCCTTGGATGCCAACATGGCTAGGAATCCAGCAGAAGATGATATTTTTTTTTTCCATTGAATGTAGTTTATATAGAAACTTTGTATTAATGGATTTTCCAGTCTTTTCCTTTTAGGGAGGTTAATACCGATAATGAATCTGAGAAAATAATATAGTTTTCTCCTTTGTTTTTTGATATGAAATTTAGTGCTAGTTTTTATTCGTAGGCTTCTGCACTGAAAATTGATGCTTCATTTGGCAAGCGTTTTTTGATAATTGTTTCTTTTGTTATTGCTGCGCTGCCTGTTTTTTTCTTCGTCTTTTGATCCATCTGTGTAAATACTTTCATAGTTTTGATATTTTTCTTTTATTTTGAGAATTTTTCAATGTATGTTGTGGGGGTGTGTTTTGATTTTGATAATTTGTTTTAAACTTAATATTATGTTTGGATTTTTGATTATCCATGGTGGTATGTTTTGTTTGGTTGGTTTTAAGTATTTGATTTAAATTATTTTCTTGGATGATTCCTTCCATCCGAGTCCCAATGTTTTGATTTTATTTGTGTTAAGATTAAATTTCTCTTTGTGATTTGGTGTAATTACACAATCGTGTGGGGTTAGAAGGACAGGAAGAGAGTTTTAGATAGTATTGAGTAGCTAGTTTCTCCATTCTTAGTTGTAATGGGGTTCGTTTGCCTCTACATGTAGACTCTCTATAGGTGAGGTGGGATAGGCTCCTAGAGCTATCCGAAGGCCTTCATGATGTATTGTGTTTATTGTTTTTAGATAAGATTTTTCTAGTTGATTGGTAGACCATGCTGCCATAGTCCAGTTTGGAGCGGATCAACGTTCTATAAATTAAGAAGGGTTTCTTTGCTAGCTCCCCATTCAATGGGCTACTGTTAAAGTAGTTGGAAGCTTTAAAACATTTTGTTCTTAGGTAATTGATATGTGGTCTGAAGGTCAGTTTGCTGTCAAAGATCATTCCTAGAAATTTATATTGCTGAACTACTGGTATTTCTTCATTTCCTAGTTTTAAGTTGGGTTATTGTTAATTTTTTCATTTGGCAGAAGTGTACAGATTTTGTCTTCGTTTTTGATATTTTAAAACCGTTTTCAAGTGTCCATTTGTTTATTTGATGTAAACATTTTGAAGTTGTCTTTCTGCTGTGTTGATTTTCTTGATCTGTAATATATTGTAAAATCATCAACATAAAATTTAAGTGTATTCCTGATTTGATGTTTTTATTATGTCATTTATTTTTATTTTGAAAATGGACTTCCTGTGGTACTCCCTCTTCTTGCTTTTGATAATCAGAACGTGTAGTATCTATTTGTACTTGGAAGAGTCTATCTTAAAAATCCTTTTACTGAAGTTTGTAGTCGACCTCTTAATCCTAATTTATGCAGATCTTTCATTATACCATGTTTCCAGGTTTGATCAAATGCTTTTTCTATATCAAAAATATGGCTATTAGATGTTGTTTTGTTTAAATTGGCCTCTCTTATGGCTGTTCTAGTCTTATTATGTGATCTATTGTACTTCTTCCTTTATTATATCACATTGATATTCTGATATTAGAAACCAACTCAATCTGGCGTTGACCATTCGCTCCATTGTCTTACATAGACAGCTTGTTAATGCTATTGGTCGGTAACTTTGTGGGTTGTTTCCCTCTTTTCCTTCTTTGAGTATGGGAATAATTACAGATTCTCTCCATATTTTGGGAAATTTCCCAGTAGTCCAAATATTGTTAAAAATATTCAATTTCAGCGATTCTTGTGGTAGTTGTTTAATAAATTCATAGTGGATTTGGTCTGGGCCTACTGCTGTATTATGGGATTTTTTATGGCTTCTATTAGTTCCGCTTCAGTGAATAGGTTGTTGTAGGCTTCTGTATTTTTTAGATGAAAAATTTAGTTGGTTATTTATATCTTTTTGTTTACACTTTTGTAGGTTTTGATTTTTTGCTCATTTTAGAGTTTTCTGCAAATGTCTCTGCTAGTAGGTTTGCTATCTCTCTTTTGCTAGTTGCTTTTAGTGTTGTCCTTTTTAAGATGTATTATTGGGTGTATTTGATCTTTTCCAGCTATTTTCCTCATCATTTTATATTGTCTTGGTTTTAGAATGTGTATTTAGGCTGTTTACATATTTTTCCAACATTCCCTTTTGGCTTCTTTTACAGTTTTTCCGTGCTACTGCTTTGAGTTTCTTCATTTCAATCAAATTTTGGGTTGTGGGTTCCTTCTTGAATTTTCAATAATGCTGCTTCGGTTTCTGACTGCTTTTTGGCAGTTTTGTCAAACCAGGGTTTAGTTTTTTATAATGTAAACTGTATCAGTACTTGTTTACATTTGTTTTGAAACCCTCCCAGTTGGCTCTTTTCAGTTTCCATCTGACGGGGCCTATCTTTTCTTGCAGGCTTTTGATTTTCTAGTATGATCGGGTAATGATCACTGCCACATGTGTCACTATGTTTTCCATTATAATCCATACAAATTTCTGGATTATACTTAAGTCTATTGATGATTCTGTTCCATTGGAGGATTAAGGTAAATTTATGATTTAATAGACATAAGTTATGGGTGTTAATTATTTCTTCTAATATTTTACCTTTAGTATCTAGCTTTTGCTATTCCATATAGGATTAATTATAAGATTCTGGGTTGGGAGTTCTAGTAAGATTCTGGCTCCATCAAGTTGTTTATTTCTGTTGTGTTTATTGGTTCCTGTGGGGTATATAAATGGAAAGAAAATGGTTTTATCTCATGTTGCTATTGCTTGTAATTTAGTTTTAATGTGTACTTTTAATGTCATTTTCTGATCAATATTTAAAGCTCTATGTCCTGTATTGTGATTATAGTGGTATTGTTTATAATTTTTAATTTTAAGTTGGTATTTTCTTGTAAAAGTTTCCTGTAAGCAGATGACGGCTGGATACAGTAGTGACATAAGTATGAGTAGGTCATTGTAATTTGATTTTAAACAGTTTTGCAGGATAATGCCATGATTATATTTTCATTTTTTGGGAGTAAAGTTACCTACTAGGTTGGTATCATTTGTCCTCTCAATTTTTTTCCATCTCTTGAGTTTTTAGAAGCTTTGTCTTAACTGCTTGTGGTGTCCTTGATCAGATTTTGATTTTGTTTTGAATTTTGTTTATTATCTTTCTCTTCTATTTCTATATATTCCATAGGTTCAAATTTATTTTCAGTGATTCTCGATTTTAGTTAGATCTTGATCGAGTGCTTTCTTGCTCTGTTGTCCTTTTTTTTTTTTTTTTTTATTTTTCATTTTCTTAGTTTGGGTTTGGAAAAAGAGGGTTCGCTGGTTTCCTTCATGTTGCATCTTATTTAGTAAACCTTGAGTGGCATTGCCTTATATTAGATAAACAATAGTATAAAAAGAAAAAAAAGAATTTCTTATATAAACATTCATTTATCTCTTAGTCAATATATTTTAAAGGTGTTCCCATTTTTTGAATTAAGTTTAATGTTTAATGATTTTCTCTTTAAATTTCAGATTTAACAATTTAAGTCTTTCAATTTCAATGATGGAAAGATTAACAATCAAACAACATGTTAGCCTATTCAAAATGGACGTTCAAACAAAGGCATTTTAGCATGTTGGAATTTTTTTGGTCAACTGAATTGCAATTGGAAATGATGTAACATTGTTCTGGAGAGGTTCAATTCCTGCACACAATGACGAATATGGAAGTGTCTGGATTTAATGCCACTTTCTTGTGCCCCCAATGTTTCAGCAGCTGAATGGTGTAAACAAGCATGCAATGGTGTTTTCACATCTGCCACTGACCCAGTTTGTTTGAATTTACAATTTTTCCAATTGCACTCTTGAAACTAACATGTTTGATTGTTAATCTTTCCATTGTCGAAATTGCTAAAAATTCAAGTTGTTAAATCTGAAAGAAAAAAAATCATTTGATGCTTACACTTAATTCACATTTAAAATCAGTCCAAGTTATTGAAACACCCTTTAGATGTATTTTAAACATTTTGATAATTGTAATGCATGTTGAGCAAAAACCTACATGATAAATTCTGATAGCTCGTATCACATGATCCAGTGATTATAGCTTCTTGGTGCAACGAAATATAAACATGTGACATTAACTCTGCTCCATTTACCAGTGCAATTTTAATATAGCCATGCCAATCCATGTAAATATGTCAAGAGGCACCTCTTTCCTAGTTTCTGAATTTTTATGCAGTCTGCTTACCCACAATTTGTAATGCCTCCTCCCATTAAGGAAACAGTATTTACTCTAACATTGTTCAGTTAACAGTTTTCTATATCCTTTCCCTGGGTAAGTAAGAAAAGGTTCTCTTTTTTTTTTTCCATGTCTCTCTTATTTTTCTGCACAAACATTTTGCCCAATGAGCCAATGCTGAAGGAAATCTATCATGAGCAAACCTATAGATTATTGTGACCATATTTAAAGATACTCACCACAGAAAATGTGTCCACAATTTGTTTCTACCCCATAGTAAAGGTCTTCAAGACACACGGGACAACTTGTTTCATTGCGTCGTCTGTCTGAATCACTGATTGGAACTCGATTCAGGTGTTCACGAGCAGTTTGGACATTTTCCATACTGTCTGGATGAATCATTTGCAGATTGTACCTACATAAGGAAATAGTTTTGAAAATTACACAGGCAAAGAGAAATAACATGTGGCAAAACTGTGACTTGGGTTCAAAGGTTGACTACAACTTAATAGATATCAGTTTAAAAAAAAAAAAAGGAGATGTGTTTTTTTTGGTTTTTTAAGCAAATCACCCCTAGCAAAGTGGGAGTGCCACTAGCACGTAAGGGGTTACAGAGTGTTGGAATAAGTGCAAAGAGGAGTGTTTGGGGAAAAGGATAAAGAGAATGACAGGGATCAAGATCAAGGCATCAGAAGATTTTGATTGACATTACATGGTTAATATCTGTGCTCATCTAATACAAAGCACTATCAAACTCAATATTTGTTTAAACATTCTGTTGCAATCAAACAATAGTTTTTTTTGTTTGTGTTTAACAGCATATCAACTCTTATAGCTCATTTAATGCTGAAATTCAATTTTCTTAGGAGCATTAATAATTTCTTTTACAAAAAATGTATTACTGGTAATTTTATTTCACTATGAAAATGCATTGCTGGTATTTTTACTATAAAATTTTTTTATACTTTCCAGTTTGGGGTTAACTATTTGCCCACAGCTGGGACCCTAACATACTACCCCATGTTAGGATGGACTTGGGAACAACCACAATTAAGAAGTGGTTCCATACTCCTCAAAACCTCCTGATCAGAGGCCTTGCTGCCAGATGTACTTTATCATCATACCCAAGACAGCCAAAAAAAAAAAAAAAAAGAAAAAAAAAAAGGAAAATTTGAATAGAATATTCAATTTATTCATATTCAGAAGGTCAATCTTAAGACCTGTTATTAAAAAAAACTTTTACATGTGACTAACACTTAATTGCCAGAAAAAGTTCACAAGATGAGCAATTAATTCAAACCATGGTTTTCATCTTAATTATTACAATGTTTCAATTTGCTAATCTTCAGGTGGCTGATAAGAAATATTTGTTGATTATTGTATTATTTTGTTCCTGTGATACCAGTTTCTGTTAATTTCTGCTGACGCAGTGTATATTCTCTCACTACATGATGTGACGGTTACACACCCGGCCCCGGGTCGGATCCTTTGGTTACGGCGCCAACGGTGACGTCGCTCCTCCTGGGTCCAAGCGTGCCGCTCCAACCCCTTGGTCAGATGGTCACCAGCCTCGCCTTTCCCGCTTCGCTTCCAATACCTGGTCACTAAAGCAACTGTGCCCGATCTCCGGTCTGTCTACCCACGCTGTGTTTAGATCTTAGACAGACGGGACCAGCAGGGATTGGGGCGATACAAGTTGAGTCCGGCCGGGGTGGCAAAACACAAATAAAAGAGAAAATAAACTCACGAGACAAAAAGATTGCTGATGAAAAAAATGGGTAACAACCCTTTATATCTTAATGTCCGCTACATAAAAACAAAATTGTTCTCATTTCCGACCCGCTCTGTGGACTATGGCACCAAGCTTCTATCACACAACCTAAAGATTTGAATTGCCTACTCTTTAGAATTGTGTATGTCGGAGTGTGGTTTAGTTCGACACTGGGGCTAATTTCTATCGATCATTCGCAGTTGATTCTTCTCTCCGACTTGAGTTGTATTTCTTCTTCTTAAATCGACTTAGGCTGGAGGTTCTCTTGTCTTCGACTTGGGCTGTATTTCTTCTTCTTAAATGGAACTTAGGCTGGAGGTTCTCTTGTCTTCGACTTGGGCTGTATTTCTTCTTCTTCTTCGACTTAGGCTGGAGGTTCTCTTGTCTTCGACTTGGGTGGAAGGATTTCTTGTCTGAGGATTCTCTTGCCATTAAAGGGGGCGAGTGAATCGGGCCTGATGCCCGCGTTCAGGCTCTATCCCTGCCCGCGGTCCAGCTGCAACTCCCTCCAACTCCAACTCAACTGATTTCTGTCGACTGGGGTCCTGCTTTTATTGACGCCGCAACAAACTGGGGTGGGTCTGTCGGCGTCAGGGTTTTCTCGATAACTCCAAAAGTCGCATTATTTTGATTTCCCATTATCGCTATTGTTTTCACCCCTACTTCCTCATAGTGCTTTTGGTGGGGGAGGCATATCCATCTCTCTCGGTCTCTCGTATGTCAGGTGACCGGTTTTTCGACCAATGAGATTCTGATCGAGCATTTCTTTTCTTTTCTTTTCCGCAGCCATTGACCGTTTTTTCGGCTAATGGGATTCTGGTTGAGCATTTCTTTCTTTTCTTTTCTGCAGCCACGTTGACGGGCTAATGAGATCCTGATTGGGCGTTTCCTGCAATCAATCGGGCGGGCTTATATCGTTCTTGTTCTAAAAAACAAAATCTAATTTTTCCTTTTTTTTTTTGCGTTATATTTTAAAAATGACCATCTTGGCCTTCTCTCACCTGGACTTTGTCAAACAGCCCGCCCGCTAATTAGACTTGACTTCAGAAAGGATCTTTTTCAGCCTTCTTGGCGCCCTCTGTGAGCCAAAAGCAATTGTCCCTCTTTTACCTCTTTGTTTTTCCTGATAGTCGAAAAAAATCTTAATTATCTACTTTGAAAATGTCTCCACTTTATTAACGTGGGTGTCCAATTCTTAACAGGTCAGGATCTGTATATCGTTCCACCGGTCACTCCCCTCAACCCAAAGACACTTTTCTCTGATTAAAAATTTCATTTCTATTGTTCTAAACCAAATTGATAAGAGTCTCTCCACGCAAAAGTCGGTCAGATGCTTTGGCGATATCTGGTCTACATCAGTGCCCGTTTTGATATCATGTCTTTTCCCTTTCTTTTTTTTTATTATTTCTAATTCTATTCTTCCAATTGTCTTTCGAGAATCGGCCAAGACGCTGACCTAAATCTCTTTCTGACTCCTATCTCCACCCTCAATTGGGTCATGCATCATACAACTTTTTCTCTCTTCTTCTTTCTTTTTTTTTTTTCTTTTCTTTCCTTCTTCTTCCCTTAAGATCGTCTAGTACAATCTTAGTGAATTATTTTCAACTCAGTTATTTTCCGTTTTAAAAAAAAATCAACAACCTGTTTAGTAACCGAGTAAGAAAAAATTAAATCATATTTCTATGAATATTTCTAATAATGCAAGGTGCCACAATGATCCAGGAATTGAACTCACAACATGCTTAGTCAACTCCTACATCCACTATGCCACCATCTCAAAGGACATCAATGGTGTATTTTTGAAGCCTTTATAGTCAATGTCAGATGGTTTTGACCTTTGGTTATCTTGGCGGGTTCATACCGATTTTGATAATCTTGTACTTCATTTTTAAGATGAGAAATCATCAATATACTTTATTGAAACTTGTTTTTATCTTGATTATTACAAATGTTATTATAGACAATGTTTCAGCCAAGTACCCTATGGTCATCGTCACTGTTTGACCGATATAGGGTACCTTGATTATTGAATCTTTTGTCCTTTTGATACTAGTTCTCATTCATTTCTTCTGAATCAATGTATATATTATTTCACTACCTGATCCAGGGATTGAACTCATGACCACTAGATGACAGCAACACATGTTTAACACAAAGAGTACTTGGCTGAAATGTGTGTAACAACATATACATCTATAATAAGAGTTATGCCAGATCACTCCACAAGTAATAGTAGTACTATCTACTGCATGTTTAGGTCGTCAGTGACTAAACTGGTTCCTCGACCAGGTTTTTCTTGTGAAGATTGATTCATTTTCTATGGCTTATCAACTGTGACACTATTTAGCTATGGTAATTGGCTAATTAATTAATCATAGAAATTAAAACAAGAAATACTGAAGGCGGAAAGAAGTTATCCCGAAAGATATACCATTCGATGTTAAAAAGATTTTATTTTATTTACGAAAAAGTTACTTTTCACAAAAGACAGTAAGCCCAGAAAAAAAAACCAGATGTGAGATTTTATCAAATTGATTAATATTGTTGTAAGAAATGCCTTGCTGAGGGAAATATGAGAATTCAGAAAGAAAAGCAAAGCATTAAGTTATCAGGAAGACCACATGGCAGTCATAAAAATTTAGGCCCAAGACGATTGCCGATACGGGGTAGGGAGAATCAATATTTCTTTCTTTATCTTTCCAAGATATCATTTATTTTTTTTTCTTGAGTGTTGGCGAGGCAAAAGCCATATGGCATATGTGGGAATTTTGGCATGAGAAGGAAATTTGTCTCGATACGGGTGGAGAGGATTGTTATTATTTACTTTACCAACGTGTCGCTTTCAGACGCCAAGATGTTGATTAGCAATATGGTGATTATAAAATTTTGGGCATGAGAAAAGATAGCGTGGAAGAATTTTGATTTGGTGAGATAAGGAATTTAATTTCTCAAGAAGCCAAGGGTTCCAGTACAAGCTAACTTCACGAAGGGACCAGATGGCAAACTTTGACAATGATTGATGGAATTGGTAAAGAGTGCTGGCTAAGTGGATTGTGAGTGACCAAAAGATGTGATAGATTTTAAGTGGCAATGCGGGATTTGTAAAAATTTTGGCTGATGGGGAAAAAGGAGAATTTTGTAAAGAAAAATTCTGGATTACAATTTTAAGGAGGCCAGTTTAGCCACACCCGAACGGCTGGGATGCCATTGGTCGAGTGGTAGCAATGGTGATAGGTGGAGGTGAATGGATGAAAAGGACGGAGAAGTTATTAACACCCACTGAAGGGATTGGCATGAGATATCAATGTGAGAGAAGAAGAGTCTCGGAGGATAGTCCTCCTCCAACCTCCCCTCACAGATGATGGCGACCCCCCCACCCAAAATGGAAAGTGATTAATTTTCCAAAAATGGGAAATAATCAATTTTCCTGGCCTGACAACAAAGAGATTTCTTGTTGGGAATCGAGATTTACTGAGAACCCCAGGCTGCATCTGGCCCCACACAGGGTTTTGGTCGGTACCCATATAAACAAACATCCTTGGGCTGTTCAACAGTTGAGTTGAGTTAGTGAGTTAGTTCAGTTTGAATAGCAGGGACCATAAGCAGAAGCTGACCTTCGACTTCACCTATCCTACCAATAGCAA